TCCTGCAGGGCTGTATGTGCCAGGTCCAGACCAAGTACTTTCATATGGCAGCTCACTAATTTAGTCTTCACAATAATACCGTAAGGTAGTTTATTATTCCATTTTGTACCCAAAACCAAACTCAAAGATTTCGGACCACTTTCCCAAGGTCATGAAGTTTTTTGTTTTTTGAGTTTTTTTTTTTTTTTTAAGATTTTACTTATTTATTTGAGAGTGAGAGAGAGAGAGAGAAAGAGAGCACAAGCAGGGGGGGAGGAGCAGAGGGAGAGGGAGAATCAGACTTCCCCCTGAGAAGGGAGCCCAATGGTGGGTTCAATCCCAGGACCCCAGGATCATGACCTGAGCCAAAGCAGACGCTTAATGGACTGAGCCACCCAGGTACCCTGGTCATGCAGTTTTGAAGCACAGAAACATCATCAAGTCCAGATCTAAATCTGTTAACAACTTACTCAAACTCAAAGCTGCTAATCTTTCCAGGATGTTGTGCTGCAAACAAAATGATCTTGGGTTCTAGGGTGGTGGGAACAAAGTTGTTTTTTTTTTAAAAAAAAGGCACCCTTTAATCACCAAAAATTGTTCCTTTGATGCCTAAATGTTTACAGCATACACACAATGCCATAGTTAAGCCTTGTAACCTGTAAAGGCTATTTCTCTTGCTGATAAATGCATTTTATGTAATAAAGGAAGATTTGGAAAAATGGTATATCTCCAGATGGGCTAGAAGCTACGTGTGTGGGCTGCCCTGCTGGTCCCTCCCGGGTCCCCTCCACCCCCATCACATTTTCCAGAGTGGGAAAAGAAAGGCACAGCTCAAAATCTATTTTTCAAAGTGGAGCAAGGCCCCTCTCTTACTTTTCCCCAAACCCTTAAAATAGATACTTTTTGTTTTGAAATTTAATCTAGATTGTGGGGCAAAGCACAACCAAATGAGAAGAAGGAATTCCCATTTTGATCCTCATTGTTATTCTCCCTCTCAGGCAGCTGACGGATGGATAGGCTAAATATCCATCAAAAAGTATAAAGGCCAACTTTAGTTTTTTTTTAAATGCATTTATACCAATAAAATTCAATGGGGGAAAGAACTGTATTTTCAACAAACAGTGCTAAGACTACTAGATATCCACATACAAAAGAATGAAGTTAAACCCTTTCCTCACACCACATACAAAAATCACTCAAAATGGATCAGAGACCTAATTACAAGAGCTAAAAAATATATATAGGAGTATACCTTCATGGTATTGGGTTAGGCAAAGCCTTTTTATTTATGCCTAATTAAGCACAAGAAGTAAATTGGCTTATATGGGGAAAAAAAACTTTTGTGCTGCAAAAGATACCATCAAACAAGTGAAAGCACAACCACAGAACAGAAGAAAACATTTGCAAATTATATATCTGATAAGGGATGTGTATCCAGACTATTAGGAGCTCTTAAACCTCAATAATAAAAAGACAACTTAATTATAAAACAAGCAAAGGAAATGTATAGACATTTCTCTGAAGAAGATATACAGTCAACAAGCACATGAAACGTTGCTCAACATCACTGGTCATTAGAGAAATGCAATTCAAAACCACGATGAGATATACCACTTCACACCACAAGGTGATAACCAAAAAGACACTTGTCTTTTGGTGTTGATATGGAAACACTGGAACCCTTGTAAACTGCCGGTAGGAATATAAAATGGTGCAAATGCTTCGGGAAACAGATTGGCAGTTTCTCAAAATGTTAAAATATAGAGTTCTCACAGGACCAAGCAATTTCACTCCTAGGTAGATACCCAAGAGCAATGGAAACATGTCCATTCAAAAACTTGTACATGAATGTTCCTAGCATTATTCTGAAGAGCCAAAAAAATAGAAACAACTTGTATGTCCATCCAATAATAAACAGATAAATAAGATATGGCCTACCCACACAATGGAATATTATTCAGCAGTAAAAAAAGGTGAAGTACTGATATGCTACAATATACATGAACTTTGGGAATATTATTCTAAGTGACACAAGTCAGAAAAACCACATATTGTATGATTTATTTAATTTTTTTGTATGATTTAATTTACACAGTGTCCAGAACAGGCAAATCTATATATATATATATATAGAGAGAGAGAGAGAGAAAGTGTATTATCAGCAGTACCATTAATCTACGTAGGGCTAAGGGATGTGGGGACAAACAGGAAGTGACTGCAAATTGGTCTGGGGTTTCTTTTTGAGATTACGAAAATGTTCTAAAATTGACAGTGGAGATGGTTTCACATCTTAGGGAATATACTAAAAACCCTGGAACAGTAAAATTTAAATGTGTGAGTTGTATATATGTGAATTCTATTTCAATAAAGTATATATACCTACACGTACATCTCTGCATATACATCATACACATACATATACGTGCATATGTATAAAAGTTTCATAGAAAACCTAGGTAATGTCAAGAAAGAAATGAACCACTTACAGGTGCTCTGCCTCAGGCTGGCATTTGAGGTTGTGTGGCAGAGGTAAACTGAAAAGCAACCAGATGATGCTAATTTTTTAAAAACAACTTTATCAAGGTATAATTTATGTGTGACAAAATGTTCCTGCTTGAAGTTTACAGCTTGATGAGTTTTGACAAATGTAACCACCAACACAATCAGGATACAGAACATTTTAATTACCCCAAAAAGTTCCCTGGAACATCTTTATCTATGCCCCAGTGCCCAGCCCCATGCAACTGGTTATCTGTGTTAACTTCATTGTAAGTTAGTTTTTGCCTTTTCTATCACTTCATATAAATTAAATCACACAATGTGTATGATTTTGGATCTGGCTTTAAAAAAAAAACTCAGTCTAATATATTTGATCTTCACCCACAGTATTATATGTATCTCTAGTTCATTGCTTTTCTATTGTTGATAGTATCACACATCATATGAAGATACTACATTTTGTTTATACGTTCATCTGCTTATGAACATTTGGGATTTTCCTAACTTGATTTATTCTAAACATTAATGTATAAGTTTTTGGTGGGACATATGTTCTCATCACTCTTTGGTAAATGCACAGAAGTGGAAACACTGTGTCTTACTCTAAGTGCGTACTGAACTTTATAAGAAACTGCCAAACCGATTTCCAAAATGTTAATACCATTTTTGCACACCCACTAGCAGGGCTGAAGCCTTCTTAATTTTAGCCTAGTGGGTACCTCATTGTGGTTTGAAATTGCATTTCCTTGATGACTAATTAAATCGAGCATCTTTTCGTGTGCTTTCTGTCCACTTGGATATCTGCTTTTGTGAAGCTTCTGTCTGAATCTCTTGCCTATTTAAAAAACTGAATTGATTTTTTTTTTATTACTGAGTTGTATGAGTTCTTTATAAATTCTGGATTCAAATCCTTTATCAGATTTTTATCCTAGTCTGTGGCTAGAAATTTCATTTTCTTAATGGTGTCTTTTTTAATGGTGTTTTTGATGAAGTCCCATGTATCCATTTGTTTCTTTTATGTTTCAAACTTTGTGTCCTAAGAAATCTTTGCCTACCGGAAGGCTGCAAAAATGTTGATTTCTAGACATTTTACTTTTTATCTATTTCAAGTTAATTTTTGTGCCTGGTGTGAAGCACTGGTTGAAGTTCATTTTCGAATATAAATAAGTTTTCTAGCACCATTTGTTGAAGAGACTATTTCCCCATTGAAATACTCTTAGCACCTTTCCCACCAACAAGGATTCTTCCTGCTCCCCTTTCTATAGCCACACCCACTTCCTTCACACTCTCCTCCCATCCTCCCTCCCTTAAGCACTGGCAACCACTGGTCTATTCTCCATTTCTATAATTTTGTCATTTCAGGAATGCTACATAAATAGAGTCATATAAAGTACACGCCCTCTTGAGGTTGGCTTTTTATTCTTTTGTATTTATCTACACATGATGCTCCTCTTTCATTTGTGTAGATCTAAGTTTCAGTGATATTATCCACCTTGCATTTCAGATCTGCCAGTGAAAACTTCTGGCAATTTTTGTTTCCTTGAAAAAGATTTCTTTAAAAGCAATCACTTATAACCATTTTTATAGTCATCGCAACACGAATGATTCTCTTTTTTAAAAAAGATTTTATTTATTTATTCATGAGAGACACGGGGTGGAGGGGGGGGGCAGAGACATAGGCAGAGGAAGAAGCAGGCTCCATGCAGGGAGCACTGGAGTGGGACTCGATCCTGGGTTTCCAGGACCATGCCCTGGGCTGAAGGTGGCGCTAAACTGCTGAGTCACCAGTTGCACTTGCTGAAAAAGTTTTTATTTCATATTTATTTTTGAAGGATATCTTTACTGTATATAGAGCCCAAGATGAATAGCTTATTTTGTTGTTGGTATTGTTTCAACACAGGTACCATTTCATCTGCTTCTGGCTCAAAAGTTTCTGACAAGAAGCATGTGGTCACTGTTATCTTCGTTCCTCCATACGTAATGCATCTCTGTCTGTATGCAAGATTTTTCCAGACATTCTGAAAATTTCTCCTTATAAATTGTTTTCAGTAATTTGATCTGAATTCTATTGGTGTGCTTTTCTTTTGTGTTTATCCGGCTTGGGGATTGTTGAGCTGCTTGGCTATGTGAGTTTATAATTTTCATAAAATTATAAAAGTTTTTTTATAGAAAGAAAGCTTTTAGCTTTGATTCCTTTTTTTTAACCTTCCTCCTTTCTGGGACTCCAATCACATGCATATTACAGCTGTTTTAAAGGCCTGTGTGTTAATTCTTTCTTCTCTGTTATTTTGGGTCTTTTTCTCTATTTCTATTAACTGGTCTTTCTCCTAATTATAGGTCACTTTTTTTTTTCTTCAATGCATGCCTAGTAATTTTGAATTCGATGCTAGATATTGTCCTTTTTATGTTACTGAATGTTGGGTTTTTGTTTTCTTCCTTAATAAGGTTGGGACCTTGTTCTGTCAAGCAGTTAATTTACTTGCATATCAACTTGATCCTTTTCTAAGCTTTTTTTTTTTTTTTTTGACAGATGTTACTTGGATTTTTGTTTCTCAATAAAGGCCAGTCTGAAGGCCACTTGTGCACAGACACTGCTACTCTTAGGAACAAGATTGGATTTTAACGCTCTGACAATTCCTCCTCCACTGTCGCAAAAATTTGGGTAGAGGCCAAAGCTTAAACCAATTTGTGTATGTAAAAATAAAACAAAAAAAGCAAGGCAGGTCTTTCTGGAATTGGCTTCAAAGCACCAGTCAGGTCCTTGTTTGCAGAGGAAGCCTGAGGGCCAGCTCAGTCAGATGACCCATATCTGGTTGTTTGCTTCGCTTCTTGATGTATTCCAGAGTTTTCACCATGGTCCTGGTATCTGCACAGCCATGCCTCTGTGCCAGGTGCCACAGGTTGACGGAGAGCTGGTTGAGTCTGTTGTTGCGCAGGTCCCCGTGGGCCAAGATGCTATTAAAGAAGGAAAGGCCCAGTGAGCTCTGGCGCTTGAGAGCCTCATCCTTGGCCAAGATTTTCAGATGCTCCAGGATCTGAGCCATCACCCTCTCACACAGCTTGTTGTTTTCAGCCAGGAACTTGGAGTCTCCCCCGTAGAGGCTGTCATTGGAGTCAACTTTGTCTATGTGGTAGAGATAGGTCTCCTGGCTCATGGCGGATAGGAGGTGCAGGACGCAGGTGTAGATGCGGATTTTATTGTCACCATTGTCCTCCCAGGTGTAGTCCTGGATCACGTTAAGAAGCTCACGAACAAGAAACAAGACTCCATGCTCAGGATGATCCGGAACTATTAATAAAGTAGAAAAGAAATTGCAGAGGAATTCCAGAAGGAATGATTCCGATGGTCGCATCTTTCCATCAATATTAATCATCTTTGGAACTTCTGGAATGAGGCTAATAGCGGCTTTGAAAAAGGCATCAGCTTGGGAGAGGCACTGGTTGGCCAAGACAACCTGACCAGAATGCAGGTAGAGGTTGAGTCGTGTGATAATGCTCACCAGGGAGGGGATGGTGATGAAGCAGTAGGCAACACAGGCCCGGACAAAGGCAGCCGTCTTTCTGGAATGATTTCCTTTCATTACTTTTCTTGTTTCCATTGCCAATCGGTTTACACTGTGAATCAATTGCACAAGAACAGGTTCCAGGTTGCAAAACATTGACCTAGCCTCAACATAAAAACTTAGCTGTTGTTCAAAGTCACGGCCAAAGGAAACCATTTTTATAAATCCATTAATCAAATATGCCAGCAATCTTTTCTCATCCTCAAGAGTGAGTGCATTCACAGAGTCATGCATGGTCTTGCAGACGTGCAAAAGGGCATTCAGAATGACAGGATCCTTTGTAGGCTCTTGCTGATGCTTGATAAAAACTTCCATGATGCATTTGCAAACCTCCACCCGCACACTCTCTTTTTGGAACATGTCCAGAAATGGCAAAAATTTTTCCACCGAGAAAAGAACGGAGAAATCATGGAAGTGCGCGATCACTTTCTTAATTATTGACTGAAGCTGAGGGTAGGAGTCTTCAAAAGCACGATCTGGAGTCATGTGCTTGATGACATCAGCCAGAACGGTATTCACCTCTCGTTTCGTGAAATGCTTGCAGGTGTACTCCACCCACACTTCAGCACAGTTAATGTAGTCCTGTGGATTCTTCAATTTAGTGATGACTTTCCAAGCTTCATTGAGAATCTGGAGTTGATCACCCTCAGGAGGGTCAGCCAAGGCTAAGTTTAACCCCAATGAGCGAAAAAGAAGATGCTTGGGGAAACCCAACTCATCACACTCTTTAATCATGCCAATGAAATCCATGGACCTTGTGGCGATGAACTCGGCCCGGAAAGCTGACATCACAGAATTCAACAGCAAGGCATTGTTTCCTAGTTTCTTGCATCTCTCCATCATCTCAGTCAGCAGAGCCTCCGGGGCATGGTAGGAAATGCACTGGAAGATCCAGTCCATAGCAGGCGAGTACAAGGGCAGGTAGGATGGAAGCCCCACTCCCTGGACCACCAGCTGGTTCTGGACTGTATCCCCATGAATCTGTTTGAATGTGAGGAGGAAATCAAAAAAGTTCTTATTCAGGCTTTCTTTGAGATGTGGAGCCACTTCCATTCCCACCCGGCACAGATAGGCCCTGGTGTACACTGACACCAGTGGGTCTCCGATTCCGCGAATCATACAAGTCAACCGGGGCAGACATTCTGAAATCCCCGTTTTAGAGAGGAACTTGTTACACTTCAGGATAGATGCTTCCACGTAAAATCTTGGAATGAGTTCCCTGATGGAAGCAATCTTGAAAAACCAATTTAAGCATGTTTCTTTGGCTGTGTCATTTACATTCTCTGGAGAGAAGTGATCTGGTAAGACGCTGCGGTTATCCACACACATGGAGAAGATGCACTCATACACGAGCTTTCCAAATGTATCGAGTATGTCAGTGATAAGGACAAATTTGCTTGGGTAGAACTGAATAACGCTTGTGTCCAAAAGAAGCTTTGAACACTGGATGACTATTTTTAGAGCTTTCACTTTCTGGTCCGAGGCCCAGGCATCCTTCAGCGACTGGTTGAGCTCCTCTATGAGGTTCACATAATCCTGTTGAGTCAAATTCAACAGCTCCTTTTGGGATCCCTCCTCAAAGTCATCCAGCTCCTCCAGCCTGGTGTGAACCTTCTCTGACATTGCGGATGTGGCAGTCCCGGCTTTGCCTTTTTCAGATCCCATAAACAGATTGATGGAGAGCTTTTCTGTGGTGGTGTACCGGGCAAGGATTTCTCCTCGTTTGCTAGCCCAGGGCTCAAAGTCTGATCCTACGAGTTGATCCGAGTTCTCATCTCTGTCTCGTCTCTTTCTAGAGCTGTCCGTGGCTGCGGGCTCAGCAGTGGCTGCGAACATGGAGAGGGGGTCAGTCCCATCCAGCACGCTGCTCAGCGGGTCCACCACAGAGCTGGAGGGAGGACGTGGAAGACGTGCTGCCTTTCTGGCTCACTTTCTTGGTCTTTGACTCTGTGACAGTTATAGGCTTCAGCGGGTGATAGTCTCCAAACTCCAAGGGCACAGCCTCCAGGCAGCATGATGCAAACTCAGCCTTGTAGTTCCTGTTTCTGGAATGCCAGGGAAAGACGGCCATCTTCCCGGTCACGTGAGCGCTTCTACTCCTTTTCTAAGCTTTATTAAAACATTACTAAGTAGAGTTTACCCTCAGACTCGTTTAGTCCAACTACTATGCAGTGACATTTTTGGGGTCTCTTTTGGAATGACCTTGATGTTCATCCAAGATCCTCCACTCTGGCTGGTTAGAACTCAAATTTCTACTAACTCTGTATTACGTCTAGGAATTATTCACCTTACAGGTCATCCTTTGCCTGCTCATGCAGTTTCACCCTATAGTTAGTACTTAGCTATAGATACAAGGGGACCTCTGTACAGATCCTAAGCATTTTCCACATAGCACATTCCAGTCACCCTAGTCTCTCCAAATTCCTATTTCTAGCTCCTCATCTCAGCAGTACCACCACATTCTGTTTGGTTGTCCAGAAAGTGCCCAGACAGAAAGCTAGCACTTTTATAGGGTTAACCACATTTGTTTCTCTTCTTTAAGGTGTCACAGAACTGTACTTCTTGTTGCCTAGTATCTAGAAGAGTTGTTTCATAGGTTTTGTCTGGTTTTCTATTTGTTTACAGTAGGAGAGCAAGTTTAGTCCCAGTTACTCTTCATATATGGAAGTAGAAGTAACTGATGCCATGAAAAGATCCAGTGTTATTCCTCCTTCCCCCCACCCCACCCCTAAAACTGTTATTCAATATTCAAGACTTGGTTTAGGTCTGATGGCTCTCTCTCTCTCTCTCTCTCTCTCTCTCTCTCTCTCTCTCTTATTATATATTTATATATAATAAAATGTTTTTTATTATTAAAAAAATAAATTTATTTATTTATTTGAAAGAGAGAGAGATTGCTAGTATGTGAGACAGGGAGAGGCAGAAGGAAAGGGAGAGAGAAATCTCAGCAAGCTCTGCACTCAGCATGGAGCCCAATGCAGGGCTCAATCGCATGACCTTGAGATCTGAACCTGAGCTGAAATCAAAAGTCTGATACCCAACCGACTGCACCACCCAGGCACTCGCTGACAGTCTTCTCTTAATCCAGAATCCATGGGCTCCCCAACACCAGGGTTGGGATAAAAAAGCATAGCGTGTTTTCCCATCCAAAATTCTCAGCTCTCTTGTCCCATTGTGAATGATGTCACCCACCTGCCCTCCCCTACTTTAAATATACTCGTATCTCTACTAACAGCTCCAGCCTCAGCTAGTCAGCTAGCTTTCCCCCAGTGTTCTTATCCTTGTCCCAGCATCTTACTAATCATACCTCATTAGCGGACATGTCAAGTCTCAAATCTTAGACTTTTTCTTTCTTAGTTTCTCTTGTCAAGTTGATCATTTCTGACAGAGGGGGATGAGAACAGGTCCATTACAGAGTGACCCTTTCAATACTGCCCTGCTCTTCCATGGTATTTACATATTCTTTCTACTGTAGTTGCCTTTTTCTCTGCCAACTCAGGTTACCCACCCTATTCCCCCCACTCAATACACTTCACAGTTGTGAGATCATTAGGCTTCAGGGGACACACCCACCTTCTCTTCAACTCATCACTCCTCCACACCCATCCTTCCTTAGGATGAATAGCACTGTCTTTGGATTTTGGTACCAGTTCTGCTTATTAGCTGGGTAGCCCTAGGCAATTTACTTACTTCCTTTGAGCTTGTGTCCATATTTTGGAATAGGGTAATACATTCTGTGTACCTCTTAGGGCTATTTTAAGGATTAAGCAAGATAATCCCTTGAAAGTACTGCTCCTGGACCATAATAAAAGATTAATAAATTTAGCTATGATGACAGTGGAGATGATTAAAGTCTAGCTCCTCCACATACTCTACATACCACTCCTCTACCTGACCTAATGATTACAATTATTTCCTAATTACCAAATCAAGCAACTTCAATCTCCTTTCATTTCTGCTTTTTTTTTTTAAAAAGATTTTATTTATTTATTTGACAGAGAGAGAGAGCACAAGTAGGGGGAGTGGCAGGCAGAGGAAGAGGGAGAAACAGGCTCCCCTCAGAGTAGGAAGCCTGATGTGGGACTCAATCCCAAGACTTCAGAATCATGACCTGAGCTGAAGGCAGAAACACTTAATCGACTGAGCCACCCAGGTGTCCCTCATTTCTGACTAAATTCTCCCAGATTTCTTTCCCCTATTTTATTTATTTATTTATTTTAAGATTTTATTTATTTATTCATGAGAGGAAGAGAGAGAAGCAGGCTCCATGCAGGGAGCCTGACGCGGACCCGATCCCGGGTCTCCAGGATCATGCCCTGGGCTGAAGTTGGCGTTATACTGCTGAGCCACCTGTGCTGCCCTCCCCTATTTTTTTTAAAAAAAGCAGTATATTCTTTTCTTCCCTTCCCAGCTCTTCATAAATATGGCTTATCAATTCTATAACTCTTCTACCACCTTATTCTTAACTCCCTTTAATCCAGCTTTTATCCTCAACACTTTAATCTTCTCTAAAAATCACCAATGACCACTGAACCACATTAAGTGGTCTTCTAAAAGTCCTCTTAGGTCTTGGTCTTCCTATAGTACTTGACAGAGTTACCCATTCTCTCATTTTTTGGCTACCATAATCACTGAATTGTCCTTTTTCACTTCCTACCTGGTGTAGATTGAATCACTGCTCTTACTCTTTAATTCTCCTGAGCAATGTTTTTATCCAAACCCATGCAATGGCCTTAGGATGAGTTTAATGAATTTGCCTACTCCTTAACTTTGGACTTGACCATGTGACTTTATTTGAAAAATAAGATTTTAGGGCACATGGGTGGCTTAGTGGTTGAGCATCTGCCTTTGGCTCACGTTGTGATCCCAGGGTCCTGGGATCAAGTCCCTCATCAGGCCCCCTGCAGAGAGCCTGCTTATCCCTCTGCCTTTGTCTCTGCCTCTCTCTGCGTGTTTCTTATAAATAAATAAGTAAAATCTTAAAAAAAAAAAAGAAAGAAAAAGAAGATTTTAGTAAGTATACAACGAACAAAGGTTTGAAATGTACTTGCATAGTTAGGATTTCCCTCTTGTTCCCCTGCCTTTTACCATAAGAAGAACGTGCTTCTGGTTCAAGAACACTAAGAAAAGTGAGAGTACAAAAATAATATTTAAAATGAACAAGGAGAAATTCTTCCAGATAAAGCAGACAATAAATAATCACAGAGATTTATGATCACAAAAGATTTAAAGCAAAGAATTTAAAATATTCAAATAGACCAATAAATGCAAGAGACACTAGATAGTAGTCAAAATCTCAGATAAAATATTAGTCAATATAACACAGATAAGTGAAATTGAGAGCCTCTGCTTCATTTTTTAAAGCTTCCAGGTGATTCTAATGTGTAGCCAGGTTTAAGAGTCACTGGTCTAAATAACTTGTGATGGTTTTATTCTCCTGGCTGGGGAGCAGATTAGGCCTCAGCATGTAATACAATTCTGGCCAATGAGGCACAGAAGAGTCTTCAGGGTAAAAGTAGAAGCTTCTGGGAAGTTTCCTCACTTTTAAAAAGACTCAAAGAAAAGAAGTTGTCTCCTACTTCTGCTGGGCACTGTAGCACGTGAATGTGAGCCCTGGAACTCTGGCAGAGAGTAACACCAATGTGGAAGATGATAGAGCAGAAAGATGGGAGAAATTTGATGCTGCCTTCCAGCCACTGAATTAAGCAGTGTTGAAGAAGTTCTACATTAGGGCATCTTATAATATGTGATAATAAGTTTTCCTAATGTTTATTTAAGCCAACTGGAGTTAGATATTTCTATTTATAGCTGAAAGCATTCAATCTAATAACCAAGTAGGAATTGTGCTAGAAATGTAAGAATTGATCAATATTAGAAAACCTAGAAAACATGCCACACTTTCATCCATTTATACTCCAGAAAAACTCTCCCATATGTCCCATGGAAACATGAACAACTGTTTGTAGTACCAAGCCATAGGAGGTAACCTAAGTCCATCACCAGAGGATAAGTAAAATGTAGTTTTATATAACATTGCATACTGTGCAGAATCATATCAGTGATTTTACTCTATTTCTATTCCTATATTCTATTTCTGTATTCTATTTCTATCATAGTACTACAAAAATTAATGAGTTCAAAAAGATTTGTATATATTTATATATAGCACCATAAATATAATGCCAAGGACCACAGAGTTGAATGAGACAAAAAGAAACCCGAATATTCACAGCACAATATCTTTTATGTAAGTTAAACACACATATATATACCTCTGCATACACACAATACCTCACTGTATATTTCTTAATCAGCACATATCTCTAAATATACAAATAGTTAAAATAGTAAAAGGAAAATAATAACAGTAATAACAATAATAATAATAATAATAATAATAATAATAATAAAGAGGATCTTGATAGGCCAAGGCTGTGAATGTTCCATACTCTGGGGACTGTGAGCAACTCATTTCACTACACTTGAGATATGGGGAGGAAAGGAAGAAGGAGGGGGAACAAGGGAAGAAGAAAGGAATGAAGAAAGGAGACAGACATCTGTCAATGTAATTCATCACTCTTAGATTGAAATAAAGTATATATTCTTTTCAAGAGATACTGATGAATTAATAAAACATACTTTAAATTACTTTTAAGTAGCCAAGATTAGAGAAGCACTAGTTTAACCTATAAAGAGCATCTATCAGAAACCAAGAGTCAACATTCATTCTCAGTGGTGAAACTTTAAAAGTTTTCCCTTTAAAGTCAAGAACAAAGAAAGCAAGCTTACTGTGATAACTACTATTGACTATTATGCCGAATGCCCTAAAAATTCACAAAGAAAACAAAGAGTGGTAATGATTAAAAAATAAGAGTTAAAATTGTTGGTGTAGGTTATGTATTTATCTACGTAGAAAATACAAAAGAATCATCAGAAAAAAAACGATTAGAACTGATAGGAGAGTTCAGTAAGGTCACTGGATATAAAATCTGCATGTAAAACTCAACAGGGGATTAAGAGTACACTTATTGCTGATAAGTAATATATGCAAGTGTTGAATCACTATACTGTACACTTGAA